TTGGATTCACGAAGGTCAGACACTCCCCTGGCAGACCTCTGGGGAACAGATTTAGGGGGAGGATGGTGAGCTAGTGGCACAGTAGTTAGCACAGGTAAGGGCCCCTCGGATGCCGACTTGCCAATGGGAAACTCGGGAGGCAAAGAGGCTGAGCTGGCTCCTTCAACGGAAGCTAGGACCTCGCATTTCTCCTCCAAGTTAACCGACGCTTGGCTTAACACTTGCCCATCCTTGGAAGGCAAGTCTGCATGTTTCACTAGTTTCTTTTTCTTCCTCGCCCTCTCCATGTCTAAAAAAACAGTCATAATTAGGTCTGGATCCATGGGAACAGGCTGAGAAGTAAGTGGAGGGACGATATCTGGGGCAGCCTCTAAAGGTGGGCCGAGCTTGTGCTTCGCAAGATTTGCCTCTGTTATAAGCTTAGGGAAAGCCTGCAACCCAAAGGCTTCTGCTTTGGCGATCCAGGCGTTCTCCTCGGTATTGAGTGTTGAGCAAAAATCTGCAAAACAGATAAGAAGTTAGCAAAACACTAATAGGAACAAGTACAGGAAAGAAGGGCACAGCTACCCAATCGGCCTTACTAGTGTTCCTTAGGACCCTCAAAGACCGGGGAATGCGAGGGATGTCGTCGGGCTCCCCTGACAGTTCCTAGGAGTCACCTCTAATGAAGAAAAGTTTCAGCTTTCACCCCTTATTAGAGGAGGGATGCCTAGAAATTAGGGACTTCGTCATCGCCCTCTTAGCAAAATACAAGAAGCCAAAGGGGGGAGAAGATTTAAGTTGAAAAAGAGAGGCAAATTCTTGAATGGAGGGAGGGGAGTCGTTCTCGCTCTTAAACCAATGAATAAGGAAACTGACCAAAAGGCCCCAACTATTGGGAGAGAGCCGAGCTGGACAAATATTATAAAAACTGAGGACACTCTGAATAAAAGGATGAACAGAGAATCGAAGTCCAGCCCGAAATGCAGATTCATAAAAATAGGTCAACCCAGAAATGGAGGAATTGCACCTCGCATGCTCCTCAAGAGAATGCAAGGACACAGAATTCGGGAACTGATATTCCCGCCTCAGCTCCTCCAGATCCTTATCGTTGAGACAACTAGAGGTTGAACTTGCATAACAGCTCAAGTCAAAATGATCACGACGGTTTTCTTCCTAAGAGTGGGAGGCGGAATCGGCTTGAACTTCCTCTTCCTCTATTGGGTAAAGGGAATAGGGGGCAAAGCCAAAGGAGCCTGAGTCTCCGCTAAAGGAACCGAGGAGGAAATTTCAGGGGTAGACCCAGAAGCCTCCTCGCCAACGATAAGAGAGCGGTCACTAGAGGAAGGTGATGTAGTCTCCTCAGCCCCCTCATCGAACTGGTCAACAAACTCTGACTCATAAGAAGAAAATGACAAACTTCCCCATCAAAGGCTCGGGTCATAAACTGGAATGTAGGGAAGGTAAATGCAAGGTGTAATCCGTTAAAAACAAAGGTTTCATACACCAGGCCTTAAGGTAGGATACCCTCGCCAAGGAAGAATGATCTACAAATTGTGAAAGAAGAGAAAGATCGTTGGAGTGTTCCCTAAAGTAACTAAATCTCCAGATCAGAAAGCGGAACCCAAAGCCCCACTAGGGAGGGTTAAAGGGATCCAAGTCAAGCAAAAAGAGGAAAAAAAAAAAAGAGACGTGCCTAGTAAAAAGCTAGAATCAGAAGGAGCCAGAAACGCAGAAACCTTAAGTTGCCATAGAGCCTGGAACGAGACACCTCCAAAGCCAAAGGAAGGGAAAGGGCATAAAGGAAAAAGATTCAAAATCATAGGGTGAGAAAAACGAAGAGATTTTCCCCTTTGATATGCAATATTCAATTCATGACAGGTGTATGACAATTCACGCAAGGAAAATCGTACCTACAGGCTCACCTGTAATTGACATGTGTACATAACCGTCTCATCACAGCTGACGGATAGTAGTGCTGCCCAATCTGGGTCAAAACCAGTAATCAAGCGTGACCGCCACTTGAAGAAATGATGTCAAGTTCAAAAAAAAAAGACATTTCTAACCCCATATCAGAGATGACGTCATTCTCATGACTTGGGGCTGGGGGCAACTGATGAGGATGAAATCTGAGTCATGGGCCTTCATGAGTCCACTACAAAAAGATCCGAATATGAGATCCACAGTTAGGCCACATCTTTTGGCCTAGATGGCCAAGCCGAAGAGGGAAAGCTCAACATTAGTAGAGGGCTTACTATACACACAACCCTAATCCGCCCCAGTCGATGAGCAGCCCCAAAATGAAAGCCTGGCCCAAATGCTCTTTGAATCATTCTCATTGCACCACGTAACCCAAAGACTCAGAGACCACCCCTGACACCGATGACAATCGCAGAGTTGAGAAAGGGTGGAACGTAAAGCCACTAGAGATCGTGGTAACAATAGCGCCAAATGAACAGTGGTGCCAGATGATAGAGAAAACTACAGGGTGCAGAGTAGAAGACCCACGAGATCAGCACAAAAGTAGGTGGAGCAGCGGGAAAACCCTAAGAGAATCATTGTATAAATAAATAACTGTTACCTAACGGAGGGGGGGATTGTTCTTTTGAACCTTCTCCTTCCAGACTAGATACTTAAGCCCAAACCCTAGCAAATAGAGGAAAATATTTGCCCCCAGTAATGAATTCAGCGCTTGTATCCTTATAATTCTCACAAAAGATCAAGCAATATATAGCTTCGAGGAGCAGGAGACTCCTTTCACAATTGACGTAGTCTTAGTTCTTCGGCTAAGATAAACCACTCACATTTCGTGTTCTTTTAACCACAATTGACTGACCATTTAATCAACTGATCCTCGAATAACTTCACAATCTTATCTATCAGGTCTAGGCCGCAATTTTTGAGCATCATCAAATGAGTATAGAAGGGATGAACTTAATAGTTTAATTATAAAAAATTTAAAAATGTGAAAATTAATATTTGTGGGTTGAAAAATATAAAAAAAAATCAAAAGATAAAAATTAATATTTATGGAGTGAAAATAGTCCCATCATAATAATTTGGGTAGGACTATCCCTACCATTTAAATCCCTGATACCACCTCATTTAGTTCTTTTTCTTTAAACTATAAAGTTCACTCAATCTATACCTCCTCATATCGATTATTAAATCTATCACATCTATATTCACTAATTAAAAATTAAATTCATTCAATTTTATTTTAACCTACTATATAGGTAATGATCAAAATTTTGTTTTGATGAATTATTTTGGTATTAAAATATTTCAAAAATAGAATAAAAATAAATAAAATATAAATAATTTATTTTTAAAATATTAGTTAAAATAAACCAAAATATGTTAAAACATCTCAAAATATTTTAAAGACATTGATAAAAATATGTCAAAATATCTTAAAATACCTTCAAATATTTTATATCACATCGAAACATTGAAATTTTTGCTTCAATTATTATTTGTGTTTCAATTTTTTTGATATATATATATTTAATAGTTTAATTAGATGGATACAAATGGGATAAATTTAGTCATTAATGGTATAAATATAAATGGATGAACTTAATAATTTAAAATAAAAAAAGACCTCATTCCAACTTGTTACAAGTCATTTTCCCTCGCTCGCTAGCTTTCTGGATCGCTCTCTCTCTCTCGCAAATGAAGTTGAAGCTAAAAGCAAAGGATAAACCGACGGACCACCCTTATCTTGCCAAGGAAGGTGGCAAAGGAAGAGGAATGGTGGATCTAGGAAATGGTAGCGAAGTCCTTTACATTCCAAGATTCATATCATACGAGGAGTCTTGGGAATACTTGGATTACCTCAACAAGCACATTCCTTGGACTAGACCCACTATTCGCGTCTTCGGCCGATCCTGTGTTCAGGTTTCCCCAATTTCTCGTTTGGATAAAAACCATCTCTTTTGGCCTTGTTATATGTGTGTATATATATGTATATTTTACATCTATTTCTAAAAAAGGTGGCATTTTTTATGAATTGGGTGGCTAATTTTGTGGGATAATATGATTGATATTCGTTTTTATTATTGGGAAGGAGTTAGCTGTATGTAGAAGGGTAAATTTGGATCAATTTGGTCCTTTGGTTTTGTTATTTTGCCTGGTTTGTCAATTGGGAATTTAAAATTGTTCATGTGGCTCTTAGAATATCGAGATTGCTCTAATGGTTAGCGACTGAAATCATCTTGAACTCGGTTCACAATGTTAATTTACCATTCCTGAGGATTTATTATACTCCCTCACTCCTTTTCTTCATGTTATATGACTATTTGAAGAAACAAGCATCCCTATAAGCGCAATAAGAGTTCGAATCTAGACATTTTTTTTGGCTGGAATATTAGTGTGGATGCATGGGATACGAAAGAATGTAGACTTATTGTCATGATGAATTTCTCATTTATGGATATACTGTTACATGGTACATTGGGGAACTCATTACTTTTTTTAGAAAAAAAAGTTTTGCTTTTCTAGAGCTTACTTTCATGTTCAATCCATGGACGATTGGGAATTGTAATTAATTGTAGTTTCTCATAGTTTATATTTTGCTCTGCAGCCCAGAGACACATGTTATGTTGCAAATGCAGGATTGCCAGAACTAGCTTACAGTGGGTATCAGCCTCGTGTGTATTCGTGGGATGAATTTCCTCCACTTAGAGAAATTTTGGACAGAGTAAGAATATTTTCTTTGTATTTCCTCAATATCATTGTTTTTTTGATTATCTATTAGTGACCTGCATGAATGTTGCCTTATAACTTTGTGTCACACTGTAGGTCCACAAAGCACTTCCTGGAAGTTGTTTTAACAGCTTGCTCCTAAATCGGTATAAGGGTGGTGATGACTGTGTTGGATGGCATTCTGATGATGAGAAGCTCTATGGACCGACTCCAGAAATTGCCTCCATTTCTTTTGGATGTGAACGTGATTTTCTTTTGAAGAAGAAACCTAGTAAAATATCTCAAGGTACATGCACAATCAATCGTCTTATCTCTTTTTTGGTATATGATCAGTGTTTGCTATCAAATTTGAAGTCCCAGACTACATTAGTGTATCTATTTTGTTTTTGGACAGACACGTTTTGATGGTTGTTGCCTGTGTTAATTTTGGTTACTGAAAAGTTTAACAATTATGTCAGTATTTGTCTATATTCGCAAAACATCTTATTGTATAAGGGCAAGAGAATGCCATGCATCGACATTCCAACACGGAAATACCTGAAGATTTACTCTATATGCTTCCTTAGAAAAGTTTTTATTCTCTGTGTGCCAGCTAAAAGATTCGAGGGTGAACCTCCTAGCAAAAGATTAAAGAAGACTAGCCATTCCAACCAGCACTCATTTACATTAAAGCATGGCTCATTGTTGCTGATGAGAGGCTATACCCAACGGGATTGGCTCCACTCAGTGCCTAAACGTGCAAAAGTAGAGACAGCACGAATTAATCTAACCTTCAGGCATGTTCTCTGATTGACTTGTGATCAAGAAAGTGCTTGTTAAGTGCTAAAGGGTACACAGCATACAGAATTCCTTTGAAATTCTGCTATGCCTTTTAAGTGCTTTTATTTTTGTTTGAAAGCTGGTAGATGTTGCGAATACACGGTTAAATACTGTGGAGACTTAGTATAGAAGGTTTTAACAATGTAGACATACAAACATGTTAAGATTTTTAAATTACCTAGAGTGGACTTACATTTGTATATCTGTATATTTGCTTGAGTGTGGGATGCAAAACTGGTGAGGGAAGCTCTCCATTTTATCACGTGCATGGAAAACCATCCCTGCTCTGCTAATGATAGATAATGATATGGAGCTCAGCTAATTAGGTCTCAGTACCTGCAACACCATTACACCTGAACTAAGACAAGGCAAAAAGCAGTAGCACTTTGCACTGGGGAAGGAGCATCATCTGCCCTTGTTTTAGACTTCATTTAGGCCTCTTTTTAACTCTTGGTAAGGTTCAAAAGCTCATTCAATTGCTTCAGAATTTTGTAGCTTCACAAGATCACTTGTAGACATGGATGTATGGATTTTCTAAGCTGGAATAGCTTTGAGTTTCTGAGTTTGAATGCATAGGAACTTAATAGGAGTGAATTGCCTGCTTATCTGAAAATAGTACCATAAAGTACATGGCATATGATGTTTGGAGGCCATGTTATATTCCTTTGCAGATAAATTGAATATCGGATATTCATGATGATTTAGGATTCCAATACTTGATTGCTTGACTGTGATTCGAACCTTTTTACAGTAATATGAACATCAATAGGACAACTCATTGGATTTTTAATGCTTCTTGACTGTCTGAGTATGTTATGAACCTTTTTACTACTCTGTTCTTTGCATTGCTAGCTGAAGATTCTCTAGACAGGTGCGTATTTTATCAATTGAAAATTTTGGTTGACTTTCAATGATAGATAGGAATACTCTCCAAAGCTGTGAATGATACAGGAGAATTTGACCTAATTCTGTTTAGCTATCCTATTTTGAAGCAACTGATGTCCCGTCCCCATTGGGGTGGGGGAATCAAGAGGCAGGACTTGGAGATGGACCAATGAATGACTATATTAGATAGTATGCAACATGGAACCACTTTTTAGGGTACAAAACCTATTCTCTTATAAAAGGGGTTCGTGAATAAGATGTCGAGCTCTCTCACTTAGAGTGAGAGTGATCCCTGCATAGCAGCAATAAATCAAAATAAGGATGCATTAAATACATTGCCATCATAAATTAAGTGTTTCCTTGTCTCACAGTTACGTAGATACCTTCCAGAGAGTTCCCTCTGGATCTTTGCTGACACATCTAGTAATCTTAATAACACAAGGCTAATAAAGAAACAAGGATAGCTAGAATAGTTGAATGGTATGTGACAGAGTATGGCATGCGGCCTTTGTCCTTTCGGAAGAAGAGTCCTTGGTATACTGGCAGGTTGATGAAAACCACTAAGCCACTTAGTACTATCTGTAATGCTAATTTGTGTGAAACCTTAGCTTGCAAGTCCTCTGTAACCACCCTCTGTAGTCCCGCCACTAAACTGAACAAATTGAGCAGCGCAACTGTAGCTAAAACATTGAACATTGGTGAACGCCCACCAAATTCCATTATCTCTTGTTCGTATCTCTCAGCAACGTCGTCATCCGCAAACTTTGCAGTAACTACGAAACCAGACTTAGCAAACCCCATTAGCTTTAAGATGGTGTCTGAGAATCCAAATAAGTAAGAAGTTGTTCTTCTAAACAACCACATTCTCTGATCATTCAACCACCCTTGCAATGTCCCTCTGCACCACATAAACTCACCTAAGCTGTACGCATACTTGGCGATGATGACATATCCAAAAGGTAAAACCCAGGGGCTTGATAACTGTGGGCACAAGATGATTCATCTCTTAAAAGAAAGCACCAGTGCTTATAAAACAGTGACAGGTTTAGTAGGTTTTAAATTAGTAGAACAAATCCACTCGGTCTTTGCATTGAAAAAGTTAATGATTCTAATTTGAGCAACAAAAAAAAAAATTTGAAATTTCTCTGCCAGTTGTTGTAATGGTTTGGGGAGCATACCTCTGGGAACAAGGAGACGCCTCTAAGGAGACATAGAGGTGGGACAGCAACATAGAAGAGTGTAGCCAAGCAGTTTGGAGCCCAAAGCAAGTAGCAACAATATGAAATTTGAAGACCTAGAGGAATCCTTCTATAGCCATACAGAAAAGGGCAGTATTTTGAGCAAAATATCTGAAAGTCACCTTCTGACCATCTCTTATGTTGTACTAGTGTCTGCAATAGGGTTGTGGGAGCAAGTCCTAAGAAGGCCTTCCTTTCTGGATTGAGGTAGACAGATTTCCAACCTCTATGTTGTATTGACAATCCTGTGACAACATCCTCTACTGGAATGCCATACATCACTCCCATCTGTAGATCAACATGCATGTATGAGAGTTCATATGCATGTTTGTTTGTTTGTGTGTGTGTGTCAGAGAGAGAGAGGAGAGAGAGGGAGAGAGAGAACCTCCTTTCCCCATTGAGTGTTCTCTTCATAGGTGCAACTTGCAAGAACCCCGCATGTCTCTTGAAGCACATCTGCGCTTTCTTTAACCAATGTGCCATTCCCTTTCTTCCAGTCAATCTTACTTCCTTTGTTGTACTTCTTCCCGCAAAGAACGTCTCTCCTGTGAAAGCACCCAGTACCGATATATAAAGGCCCTCCATTGGAATCGTGGCCTAAAAACTCCACCTTGGTCACCATAAGGAATATATATATATAGTTAGTAAATCATGGTAACTTTATATGAGTGAAGCTGAAATCTAAGTACATGTTTTCGATTAATTAATTCTTACATTCATTATTACTTTTAAGGAATTGCAGTACAAATCATTCTTGGTGAGGTTGTCAAAGCTTTGTGGAAACTGTACGAAAGCAATCTCATGGCTCCTCTCTTCATCCATGAAAAAGCACATGGCATCTCTCACTGACTCTGAATTGTTTGAATACATGTCGCAATCCACATTAAGAATAATTGGACTGTTGCTTATCCTTGATGACACCCTTATCTATTAAGTTCAGTCATGGACACACACCGTAAACATCATAATAATGAAAAAAAAAAACTAACTACTAATTAACCATGTAATAAAATAAGAGTGAAGCTACATAAATGTGGCAGCTTTCGCAGTGTCCCATGCCAAACATAGTTTATGATATATATTGTACCTGCTAAATTATTCGATATTGTAAAATATGCTCATCATGCCTTATGTGTGGATGCATGAATAGACATAGTTTACCAGGGCATTGAGTGCTCCTGCTTTAAAGTTATGGTGGTACTGGGGTCTCTTCTCACGGGCCAAGTATACCAAAGTTGGCAGAGGTTTTCCTTCATTGTCCACAGTATTGGTGTCTCTTCCATCAACTAGCATCTGAGAGATCACCAAATTAAAGTAAATAAATCATCTGCTCTGCTATATATAGTAAAAATATATAATTTTTTTTGTTTTTTGGTAGCTGTAATAGCATGCATGATTGAAATGTTGAATTGATGATGGATCATATTACTTGAAGAATGGTGTGATGATCGCGTTTGCTTGAAAATACGTCCCACTCACGAAATCCCTTGTGCTCTCTGCGTAATTTATCTGGAATTCGGCCTAGTTTCATGGCATTGTTGATCCGTTTTTCCATTTCACTATATAATCTCTATCAAAAAATAAAAAATGATATAAATTTAGTTAAGAAAAAGTTCAACTGATATATTATTGAACTGCAAACAAATGTAGAGGTGTAAAGCAAGTAGCTCCAAGTAGCCGTTACTGCCACCCCACCGGAAATGATCGCCTTTACTGAAGCTAATCAACAAAGGCCAAAATTAAACAGCTGTTAAAGAAATCTTTCTTCCCGATTTCGACTGATCCTGATATCTTTGGTAGGGCCCAACCGTGAACATCAGTAATACAATCAATAATGCACTGAGAAGTGAGGACCACGAAAACATATATATATATATATATATAATTGGACAGGATCGGATACGATTATTGTCCAAGTACTATTGGATTGGGACCTTGAAGTGCTTATACATAAAAGATTTCCCGATGCACTTTCAAAAAAGAAAAAGAAATAGAAAGAAATTGGGAATATAAAAGAACACCAGAAAAACTTCTACATAATACAGAAAAACTGATATATTACCTCAATAATGGTGAAGTAACACAACTGGGGTTTGAGATGGGAATGGATCGCCTGATCCGCTTACTGTGGTTTAAGCGGAAAAGACCCCCAAAATGGTTGATTATATATGCCAGTAAAAAATTATTCAGATCAATACAATTTTTCTACAAAAATTATCATGTACTACCTTAGTGGAGGACCATTCTTTGGCCATTAGATGATCATCCAGTGGTGGTTCTGTAACTTTAGAGAAATAAGCTGCTGGTGACCTTGGTTCTATTCTGAATTTCTTGCAAAATGGTAGCCAGTACTTTGAGATGCGAGAAGCCTCTAGGAGAGCATAGAACATCAACTCTGAACCACCGTCGTCAGAAAGGTAGACATTCATCTTCTCCGGAGGGTAGCTGTAAGTCATGACTGATAGGACTGTGTTAATGACCATCAGTGGTGGCTCTAATACCGGGTCAGCTGTGCACACAAATATGTCTATGCCCGGCAGAACCTTCTCATATCTGGTATTTAACATTCACAATAAGAAACAAGTACTAGCAACAACAACAACAAAGTAACAAACATACACACACACATACAAATGAGAGAGAGAGACCTTTGGGAGAGCCTTTCTTTGAATGTATAACGGTATATAGGATTCCATCGAGCAGATTGAGTGACAAACCAGTAGAAACTAAACCATAGGTCCGCCAGAAACAAACCTATCCAAGCCCATCTTCCATCTTCTCCTTGTGCCGGTAGATGACTTACTCTATACACAAATATGAAACCTATGCCAACAATCATTGAACCTGCATACAACCAATATGGAATACGTCCTTTTGCAGACTTCGTTTCAAAGAGAGGAAGATAACCATCTTTTCCCATCTCTCTCTCTCGTTTGTGTGGGAGGAGACTGGAGAGGGGGTGGGGGTAATGTGAGGCCTTAATGTGCTAGGTAATTTTTGCACCATTTCATAGCGATATAATATATCACAATTCCTATTCACTGACTATAGCTAATAACGTGTGGAAAACTTTGAAGTCAGACTGTTCTAGTGTCTTTGAATATTCGCCTGATGTTGGTTGTTGTTAGATGTATCAACTAGGAGAGTTTTTGTCACGTATCAAGCTAGAAGAGTTTGGTCATCAATTATATATACAAACGGAAAGGAACTAGTGACTTGACTATAAACAGAAGTGGACGACAACGTTAAATAATAAAAGACTGTACGTGCAAGATCCTGCACAATATAAAAAACGAGAACAGATCTCTTCCTTGGTGAACTCGAGTGAGCCAGTTGAATGACCAACCACGTTGCTTGGAACAGCCTGCGAGGTCCGGTGGTAACCTGGAACGGCAACGGGAGACCCTGGGGGAGCGGAAGAACGATCCAGTAGGGCTGAAAGAGGTTCCTGGAACAAAGAAGAACAAGTTAGAAGGGCGCCAGAGTGTTTTCTGGCGTATCCCCTCCGACGATCTAGTCAGTCTTTGAGAAAGAGAGAGGAAGGAGAAGACACTGAGTGTGTATTGTAGTAAAGAGTTTTTTGTTGCATACTCGTCTTGCCTTTTGCAAGGAGTATTTATACCTTAAAAGCTCATGATTGCTGTCAGTGTAGTCAGTAGGTGATCATTAGGTACAGGCAGTGTGCGCACTGATTCTGATGAGGAATGTCTTCTCTTCTTAACTGTTCGGGGTCCCGAGCAATCAATGCTGGGTCATCGGGATGCCGACGGTACAATGTACTCCTCTCGGGGAGGATGCAATAAATGTTCTGTATTAGGAGCATTTATTGCCTTTCATTTCCGAGCCTTACCGCATTGAATGCGGTCTCATCAAGGGAATGGTGTAATTAATCGTTTACTTTCCCAAGTCGCGTGTCAGTAACGACATGCGGTTTCTCTGTCTTCGATGTGATATCATATGTCATGCGTCCATCCCCCATTGGCTGTGGCCCCTGCATTCCAGTACGTTCTGACACTAATTGTGTAAGACGAGGTCATGATGAATAGCCTAGACTAGCCTAGGCTAATGACTTGTACATCAATAGCTTATCCTGGAGTAGAGGAGGCGTCCAGGATGGGGTACACCTCGGCACCGAGGAAAGGCTCATCTCGAAATCGAGGGAGGGATACCGACCGAGGTACCATATCAGACCGAGGCTACGTGTTGGTTGTAAAACGTACTAAATGCCATGATTCTATATGACGAGTACCTCGGGGGCGAGGACCTTATGCACCGATTGTGCTTGATCTTAGCAACAGTGTTTTGGTAATACCGAGGACACGTGTCTTCATCATGGAGCATTTCAGAAAAGTCGCATCAACTGCCCCCCAGCCTTCGATCTTCTGACACCGAGGGCACGCGTCGTAAGGAGACGAAGGGTTTCCCAACAACCACAAATGCTTCATCATTGCCTCGAGCCGCTTTCCCCGGCTTGGGATGTAGTGTGCATTAAATGCGTCGTTTCGTTTTTCGCGCCCAATGATGAAATTGCCACTATATAAATGGGGCTCCTCTTCCATTTTCTTGTTTCGCCATTCCGAACTTCCTCAAGAGATTCTTTTCCTGAATCTTCGCCGGAGATCTCTTTCCTCTTCCATCGTCGACTGCCCATTCTTCCTTAAAGTCTTAAGGCCAGCAGACCCATCGTTGCTTCTGAACTTTCTGGAAGGAGTCGCCTAAAGTTTTCCAGAAAAAACTCCGTTTGACATTCGGGTGAGTCCTAGTTTCTTTCTTTTCTTCTTCCTATCCCTTTTTGTTTTTCGATGACTGGAGGTGTCTCCGGTTGATACCTAATCCTCGGGAAGCTTCCTCAGGGATTTTTAAGGAAAAACACCCTCCACTTTCTCACTTTCTTAGAGATGCCTCGTCGTCGCCCTGCTCCCGAGAATCCTCAGGCTGGTTCTTCGGGGTCGGGAAAGTATAAAGTAAAGGGTGGTGAGCGGATTAATAGGTTTAAGGTCAAGTACGGCATTCCCCCGTGCGTAGACATAGAGGATTATGACCCGGTGGTGCACTCTCCTACCCTCGGGGCCGAGGATGCTATGCCCTTTTATACCAAGGCCATAATAGAGGGGGAATTAGGTTTACTTTACCCCTTTTACTTCTACAGTTCCTCTCTCACTTCCGCCTCTTCCCCGGGCAGTGTTGCCTTAATGTCTTCAGAATAATTATGGGGGTCTTAGAGCTCAATAAGCCCCTCGGGGTAAATATTGGGCTGAACGATCTCCTTTTTTGTTATTCCTTTTTGAGAGTCATGTCTCACCAACACTTCTACCTCAAGGCCAGGGACCCCTCCATGTACCTTGTAACTCATCTTCCCGACTCGAACAAGGGGTACAAGGACGATATTCTTATTTTCAAGGGATCTTGGCAGAGAGGTGTTGGTCCCGAGTATAACGGCTTGTTATGCCCTCTGGAATGGAGAACGACAAGTACGTCGGTTCCTTCGGGTTTATTATTTTGTTCTCCAGATTTCCCATGTTCATGACTACTTTTTTTGTTTGTGCAGATATCCCTGCTCGGGAAACAGCTCCTCCTCCTCGGTCGCTGGTGAACTTTGCCGACCTAATCACGGTTTGGAGATTTACTGGTGACAACGGGTTCGGCCGGGCTGCCCACATCCTGCTGAATTACACCCCCGGGTATAAGAAATTTTCACAGCTTCCTCAGCCTTTTGAGCCTTCGCGGTGGTCTGAACTCTTCGATCAGGCGGCGAGGCAAGAGGTCGAGGAAAACTTGGAGGAAGACCCTGATCGGGCTTCGGAGGCAGAGGTAGAGGGAGTAGTTGAAGAGCTCGGGGTCAGAGAGGACGTTGTTCCTTCGGACGCCGAGGTGGGGACTTCGGGAGGAGATTTGTGGCCGGACTTCCAAGTTCTACAATCTCTAGACTCCGAGGACGCCCTCGAGGTCGCGATGTCCAGCACGCCTCGTATTGACCTGGGGTTCCTGAGGCAGAGGCAAGCTCTTGCTGCCGGGAGGGGACGAGGATCGACCGGCGATGCCCCATCTGCAGGGACCAGTTCCACCCCATCCTCAAGGGTTCTCAGTCGGGGTCAAGTGCGTGACCGGGATCCTCAGGTAGAGGAGGAGAGAAGGGTCAAGCATAGGCACGATGGCCTCGGCAGAGGATCCAGGGCATCTTCCGCTCAGCAGCAAAGCGGGAGAGGCCGTGGGTTACCCCTTGCTCCTCTGCAACAGCAGCAGCAACAACGACAACAGCAACAACAGCAGCAACAACAACAACAACAACGGCAGCAGCAGACTCCCCCTTCCCCTCCGCCGACAGTGGAAGCCGCGGAGTGGAATCCCCGAGCCACCGATCACATGAACCGAGTGATCAGGGTCGATGATTCCATTTTGCTGGATCCTCATGTCGCCAATGCAGTGAGTGAGACACTGCATTTCGAGGCTGACATGGCGGCTCACAGGGGGCGATCAACGAACGTGTTGTTCCGCTCTATCATCCAGAATTCCCTGGTGGTAAGTTCATTTTTGCTTTGGTTTCTTCTCTCTCGCTTTCCATTTTTGTGACACGCCTTTTTCCCTCCTTTGCAGGCTACCCAACAGATCTCCATAATAGCTGCGCGGTACCATGGGTCTAGGATGGACCTCCAGCGGGCCCGAGAGCAGAAGGAAGAGGCGGAGGGGGCCCTCGCCCGAGCTATGGAGGACGTAGCTGCCAGGGATTCTACCCTGGCGGGGCAGGCTGCTCAAATCGAACAACTCCTCAAGGATGCCGAGTCGGCTAAGGTTGGCGCTGAAAAGCTAAGTGCTGCCCTTGCCGATGCTGAGGGGAGGATCACCGAGCAGACGCGGCGGCTTTCTGCCGCGGAGGAGAGGGCGGTTGGCTCAGAGGAAAGCTGTCTGGCTCTCACCCAGGAGCTGGACAGGATCAGAGCCGAGGCACTGAACAGGAAGTCGGAGGAGCAACTCCGAGAAGAGTTCGCCGATGACGTGCTCCCTGCTCTTGAGGAAAACAGCAAGGAGTTCTTCAAGAAAGGGTGGGACGAGGCGCTCCAGTCTGCTGGAATCCCGTCAGACTCCCCGCTCTTCCAGATGCACAAGTACGTGCCCTCGGCAGAGATGGAACGGGCCGAAGCAGAGATTGCTGCCGAGGATGAGATCCCAACGCCGGTGCAAGTCTCGGCGGATCTGCCCGAGGCAGTGATAGTGGACTTGTCCGAAGAGGCCCCGCCGGACCATGCCCCTGATCCTCATGTTGCTCAAGGTCTCTCTGTTGCCGAAGTACCTCTCCTTCTGCCTGCTCCAGAAGCTTCTCAACCTTTTTATGCTGACTCGCCCTCGGCTGATGTTGTGGAGATGCCCGGGGCCAGATGAAAGCCCCTTTTTCTTTTTGATTGTACTCTTTTTTCTTTTGTAGCCTTTGGGGACGCAAAGCCCCTCTTCTTGAAATAAATCATGAGTACTTTTTCCTTTTTTGCGTACAGTAGTGTTTTTTTTTTTTTTTTTTTTTTTTGGAACTGTCTTCGGGGCTGCTCGCCCATTCAAGAGGCACGCTCTTGTGTTTGCTTCGGGGACAGGAGTCCTTGAACTCTGTCCCCAGGGCCTTGCCCTTCCAGGAGGCTTGCTCCTGTATATGCTTCGGGGACAGGAGCCCTTGAACTCTGTCCCCAGGGCCTTGCCCTTCCAGGAGGCTTGCTCCTGTATATGCTTCGGGGACAGGAGCCCTTGAACTCTGTCCCCAGGGCCTTGCCCTTCCAGGAGGCTTGCTCCTGTATTTGCTTCGGGGACAGGAGCCCTTGAACTCTGTCCCCAGGGCCTTGCCCTTCCAGGAGGCTTGCTCCTGTATATGCTTCGGGGACAGGAGCCCTTGAACTCTGTCCCCAGGGCCTTGCCCTTTCAGGAGGCTTGCTCCTGTATTTGCTTCGGGGACAGGAGCCCTTGAACTCTGTCCCCAGGGCCTTGCCCTTTATCTTTGTCGTTGGCAAGCACTTGAGGGAGAGAATACTTCAAAAGTAATATTTCTTTAGATTCATAACATTCC